TTGAGCAGGAGTCTCACTCTGTTGCCCAGGTGGGAGGGCAGTGGCACTCTCATGGCCACTGCAGCCTTGACCTGCTGGGCTTAGGCAATCCTTCTGCCTCAGCCTTTCAAGTAGCTGGAACTACAGGCACACATTACCATGCCGGGCTTATTTTTTGATTTATTGTAGAGACAAGGTCTCACCAAGTTGCCCAGGTTGGTCTCGAACCCCCAGACTCAGGCAATCTTCTCACCTCGGCCTACCAAAGTGCTGGGATTATAGGCTGAACCACCACACCTGGCCCTATTTTGTTAGTTCTTAAAGCAATATTTATATATTAGTTTTCCTTTACGTCATGAAAATTCTCAAACATATAAGCCCCCAGGTTCCAATCCCCCAGTTTCCAGGTCATCAACATATAGCCACTGTATTTTCTCTGACCCCCAGAAACTATACACCAAACACACATACACATCCACACAGAGGATTGTTTTAAAAGTAAACACAAGACATGATATATAATTTTATCTGCCAATAAATAATTTTTATGGTAAAAGTAATATAAAGTTCATTGTGGAAAATATTGGCAGTAATAAGGACAATGGTAGAAACTCACCTGTAATTCCAAGGTAACTTTTGTTTATATTTTGCTATATTTTGCGATATATCCACCTTTATACATGTGTTTGCAAGAATGAATCTCTCTCTCTCTCTCTCTCTCTCTCTCTCTTACAGCCACCACCTCAGCTTTTTAAGACAAAATTTGACTCACGTTGTAGAATAGGTAATATTTCATAGTCTCTTTTGTTTTGGGGGGGTTTTTGTTGTTGTTGAAGTCTCACTCTTGTCACCCAGGCTGGAGTGCAGTGGCATGCTCATAGCCACCACAGCCTCAACCTGCTGGGCTTAGGTGATCCTTCCACTTCAGTCTTCCAAGTAGCTGGAACTACAGACACAAGCCACTGTGCCCAGCTAGTTATTTTTGTGTGTGATTTATTGCAGAGACGAGGTCACCAAGTTGTCCAGGTTGGTCTCAAATCCCCGGGCTCAGGCAATCCTCTTGCCTTAGCCTCCCAAAGTGCTGGGATTACAGGCTGAGCCACCATGCCCAGCCCATAGTCTCTTTTTAAACATCTTATAGTGTGACTGTTTTCCTGTCATAAATATTCTGTTAAAATATGACTATTCCAATTTATTTTTGGGGTCAGAGTCTCACTCTGTCACCCAGGCTAGAGTTCAGTGGCATCATCACAGCTACTGTAGCCTCAACCTGCTAGGATCAGACAAACCTTCTGCCTCAGTCTTCCAAGTAGCTGAAACTACAGGCACGTACCACCATGCCTAGCTAATTTTTTGATTTATTGTAGAGATGAGGTCTCACCAAGCTTCCCAGGCTGGTCTCGAACCCCTGGGCTTAGGCAATTCTCTCATCTCAGCCTCCCAGAGTGCTGAGATTACAGGCATGAGCCATCATGCCCAGTCCAAAGTTTATGTAATAAATTTCTGACCATTGGCACATAAATCTCTTCGCAACTCTTCATCATAGACAAGCTCATTATTTTAAGTGGACTTGGCAAATCAAAGAAAAGGAAGGGAAAACAGGCAAGAGTATCAGGCATTATTCCCATGCTAAGGATTAGTTCGTGAGGTGAATCCAGGATCACACAGGTGGAAGTGATGGAGCAGGAACTTGATCTCAGGTCTGCCCAATTCTTTCCACTATTCTGCTGCATCTAAAACTATGAAAGCAGAGATATCTACCCAAATCTTTCTCCACTGTGCTTGCCTCAGGACCCTACAAATGGATTTTGGGGGACTTCAGACATAAGCAAAAGAATTACTGTTGACAAAATAAGACCAACTATGTTTGCCCTTTCAGACCCACTGGAAGAAATGCTCCCATTTGGAAAAAGCAAATGCACTCTTGGGATCTTGATTAAAGGGCACCGAGGCTGTCTCTGCATTAGGACCAGTAGGACTCCTTCTGACAGGCATTCAGTATAGAAAAGGAGTGACTGTTCATGCCCTTTGGACCATGACTTCAAGTACAACACCTCCAGAACAAGTCTGTGAAAAACAACCATTGTGATCCCCTTTGCCATGTGAGAACACAGCTAGAATGTGAGCCAGAAAGAGGGCTGTTACCAGAAACCAAATCTACCTCAGTCTTTGACTTCTCAGACTCCAAAACTGTGAGAAATAAACTTCTGATGTTTTTAAGCTAAAAAAACAAAACAAAAACAAAAAACACCATTGCTTATTCATCCATTCAATAATCTGTCTGAAAACCCAAGTAAGCATATTCAAAAGTAATCCATAAAATCATAAATATACTGAGTCTTTCACAACAATTAAAATTTGTTAGTGTATCCCTACTGAGCCCTATTAGGACTGATAAATTTTAAAAACTTATATGCAGCTATAATTGCAATTTCATTATTTTGTAAATGCAAGATCCATGTCCTAGAAACTTCTTTTCCTGTTCTTTGACAAAATCTGAGTCTTTATACTTGGAAATCATGAAAGGCAGAATAGAAAGAGCTGAAGAGACAAAATGGCTTTCCTTTTCTGGTACATATTCAGAGGATGAATTTCTTACAGAAAAATCTATCATGACGAAGTTTTGAACAAGCATTCAGTTAGATTAGGCAACATATTCTAATCAGTCTCCAGAATTGTATCAGAGGGACAATACTGTCAATTCTTCTGAAATGATAACTATTTTGACCAATTTCTTACCCTGTCAAACTGCAAAAATGTATAACAGATCTCACTCGTAGTGCAATGCCTCTCAGGTCAGCTTTCTAATTAATTTCAAGGCAATGCTGGTGGTTTTCGTTTTAAATTGTAATAAGGGACCAGGCATGATTTCAAGCACATCCGGGCAGTGTAACCTGCTTCTGACTTAAAAAGAGTGTTGGTTTCCCAACAACTTGCCTAGCTCTTAGGATTTACAAGTTCCTAAACTGAATATGATCCCTCCAGGGAATTAATGAGGTAATTAACATCTCTTTAAATCACCAAACCAGAACTACATACTGTTTTCTATCCACCTCCTCCAGTGGGTGGTCTCTACCAAGGAGAGCCATCATATTTAAAGAATATTTCTCATGAGTCTGTGACCAAACTGACACATTTGCAAACACTTTTTGAAACAGGTGCAAGGTACGTATGTATGAGTGGGGACCCCAAAAACCTGGAATTTATTTATTTAAAAATTGTGGGCCGGGCATGGTGGCTCAAGCCTGTACTTTGGGAGGCTGAGGTAAGAGGATTGCCTGAGCCCAGGGGTCTGAGAGCAGTCTGGGCAACTTGGCAGGACTTCATCTCTACAATAAATCAAAAATATTAGCGAGGTGTAGTAGCGCGTGCCTGTATTTCCAGCTACTTGAAAGGCTGAGGTGGACGGATTGCCTGAGCCTAGAAGATTGAAGTTGCAGTGGCTGTGAGCATGCCAGTGCACTCCAGCCCGGATGACAGAGTGAGACTCCAACTCAAAAAAAAAAAATTGTATATTTATTCTTACATGTTCAAACCTCAGTCACCTTCAAAGTACTCTCTGTCTGATGTAATATACCTACTGAGATGCTTTTTCCACTGCTCAAAACTCATCAATTTTGATGCCTTTTATGCTTCTGCTGTTTTTTGTTTCACCTCTTCTACATTGGCAAAACATTTCCCTGTGAGGACTTTTATGATCCAGGAAAACAAACAAAAAAAGGTGAGGTGAAATCAGGTGAATAGGGAGGGTGGGACAGGGGCTCATGCTAAACATACAGCATGGTTTGGGCAAGTGCACTTGAAAATCACCCATCATGAAATGGGCAGATGTTTTGAAAGAATCTCCAAAAAAAATTCACCGAGGCTAAACGCAACGTCTCACAACAATGCTAGCTGATACACTGATGTCAATGGGTTCCTAGAACACATATCTAGCAGGGAAGCCTGTATTACAAGGGACCTATCTTCAAAAATTAATTGGTTTTTATTCGGGAGGGTCCCCTCTCATATATCCGAATGGAGTTGGATTAAATGAACACATTTAATAATATACACTGTACTACATGAATTTTAGGCTAGTCTTAAATTATGGAAGTAGAATAATCAAAATTCCATAATACAGAAACAGAATAATCTTTTTTTTTTTTTTTTTGAGTTGGAGTCTCACTCTGTCGCCCAGACTGGAGTACAGTGGTCGCTCCCAGCCACCGCAGCCTCGACCTGCTGGGTTCCGGGGATCCTTCCGCCTCAGCCTTCCAAGTAGCTGGAACTACTGACGTGCACTACCACGCCCGGTTAATTTTTTTTTATTTATTGTAGAGATGAGGTCTTACCAAGTTGCCGAGGCAGGTCTCGAACCCGCGGGCTCAGGCAATCCACTCACTTCAGCCTCCCAAGGAGCGGGATTACAGGCTGAGCCACCGAGCCCAGCTCCAGAATAATCTTTCAATCTGGACAAAATGACTGAGTTTGAGCATCAAGTGTGGGAAACCAGCTTCTGTCAGAATTATGAACTAGAATGTGAAGTCACAAAGATTTTTTTTTTTTTGGAGTCGGAGTCTCACTCTGTTGCCCAACTGGAATGCAGTGGTACGCTCACAGCCACTGTGGCCTTGACCTGCTGGACTCAGGCGATCTTTCTACCTCAGCCTTCCAAGTATTTGGAACTTTAGGTACATGAAGCCACACCCGGCTAATTTTTTAATTTATTGTCTACAACTTGGTCTCGCCAAGTTGCCCAGGCTGGTCTCAAACACCTCAGCAAGATTTTTGAGCAAAAAAAAAAAAAGATTTTTGAGCATCTCAATTCTCACAGTTGGCTAAAATGCACAGTAAAGAAATAGCACATTGCTAAAGTGAATACTAAAGGAGACAAAAGACATAAGACAAAAGACAAGGTCCTTATGTCTTAAAAAACACAAGCTTGACAAGGTCCTTGTGTTCCTGGCCTGGCTCCAATGTGGCTTGGCCAGTATCTCCTTCCCTTGATACTTGCCCCTAAAAATGTTGACTTAGTAAAATTCAGATGGTGTGACCTCTAGTCTGCGTTGGCCAGATATAGCCTGCTTTAATAATAACTTTACTCAAAACTTCAAAAAACACAGATGTTAATAGTTTTACTTAAACTCACAAAAAACAAAGATGTTAGTGCTATAATAAGCTTGCCAAAAAAGTCACAAACATTAACCTTTTCCCAGCTGATGCTAACATTAAGATATTTCTTGTTTATATAGTTTTGTCCTATATAAAAAACATGCTATAAAAATAAACTTACTGCCGAGCTCGGTGGCTCAGCCTATAACCCTGCACCTTTGGGAGGCTGAGGTGAGTGGATTGCCTGAGCCCGCGGATTCAAGACCCGCCTGGGCAGGCAAGACCTCATCTCTACAATAAATCAAAAAAAATTAGCCGGGCGTGGTAGCGTGCGCCTGTAGGTCCAGCTACTTGGAAGGCTGAGGTGGAAGAATCGCCGGGGCCCAGCAGGTCGAGGCTGCGGTGGCTGGGAGCGGCCACTGCACTCCAGCCTGGGCAACAGAGTGAGACTCCAACTCAAAATAAATAAATAAATAAATAAAGCAGATTGATTCTTTAAATAAATAAATAAATAAATAAACTTACTCTCACCTATTGAGGAGAGAGATCTCCCAATTCCACTGTCTCTTTGTCTTTCTTTTCTCATTCCCTCCCCGCAATTCAGGCCCTACTCACCGGAGACTAGACCTCCACAGAATATACTGTCTTTCGATAACCTTGCTGTCTACCTAGCTGGAAGCACTGCTCTTAACTGGCACACATTACTCACCTCTCCAAATCCGCCTTTTCCTAGAACTCTGTAATGTCTAAACGTGTTCTTTGTTACTGGTTGCCTAATGAATTAAAAAAAAAGTTTCAGGTCTCACATGGCATTTTTTTTTTAGATTAGAAAATATAGTTTATTTAAAAACTAAATTAGAAAGAGGGTGGGGGGAGAGAGAGATAGAGAAACAGGAGATTTACCTCCCCAAGGCAGGGGAGGGTGCCAAAGCTTAAGAAAACATGGCCAGGTCATAGTTCAAAGGGCACATGGTCACACCATAGCTTAGCAAGGCAATGGCCCTCAAGGTTATTTTAAAGCAGAAAGCCTACCCATGCTTGTCTTAGCATTATTTATTGAACTGTACTGCTCAAAGGGAAGGCCCAAGACAAAGGCTCTCTCTTATCTTTGCTGAGGGACTATGGCTCCCTCTCTCTAGTGGGAAAGCTCTCAACTTGCATGAGGAGCAATTAATCTTAATTAACATTAAGATTTATTGAAAATGCTGAGCCGGGTTCGGTGGCTCAGCCTGTAATCCCGCACTTTGGGAGGCTGAGGTGAATGGATTGCCTGAGCCCGCAAGTTCGAGACCCGCCTGGGCAACTTGGCGAGACCACATCTCTACAATAAATTAAAAAATCAGCCAGGCATGGTAGCGTGTGCCTGTAATTCCAGCTACTCAGAAGGCTGAGGCAGAAGGATCGCCGGAGCCCAGCAGGTCGAGGCTGCGGTGGCCGGGAGCGGCCACTGCTCTCCAGTCTGGGAGACAGAGTGAGACTCTAACTCAAAAAAAAAAAGAACATGCTGAAGCAAGAGGCAGAACAGTCCAATTATCCTTGCTAACTAAAGAAAGCTCTGCAATCAGGCAGGACTAGGAAATATTTATAACTTATGGTACAGTCTTAGTCTATGAGTATTTTCCTGGGAATTTTCCCAAATTAAAACATTTCTGAGCAAGGCTCAGTGGCTCAGCCTGTAATCCCGTGCCTTTGGGAGGCTGAGGTGAGTGGATTGCCTGTGAGCCCACGGGTTCGAGACCCGCCTGGGCAGTGAGACCGCATCTCTACAATAAATCAAAAAAATCAGCTGGGCATGGTAGCACATGCCTGTAATTCCGGCTACTTGGAAGGCTGAGGCGGAAGAATCACTGGAGCCCAGCAGGTCGAGGCTGTGGTGGCCGGGAGCGGCCACTGCACTCCAGTCTGGGCGACAGAGTGAGACTCCAACTCAAAAAAAAAAAAAATTTCTGAACATTTTAAAATATAGGTACAAGGTACATGTGTGTTCAAATAGAGATGAGTTATATATGCATATTTAATAAAGTACTCTGTACTATATGAATTTCAGGGCTCTGAATCTGTCAAAGCTGTTAAGAAAAAATGACATATATACATACATATATATACAGCATGTACTATCCTTTGAAAAAAGAACCTCGAAAAAGATGTTTATACAAACATCTCAAAAGAAGCATGCGTGAGCTAGAACTGGAAATTTAATCAATGTAATGGTAATAATAGTAACAATAACACTAGCAGTAGCTAATACTTCTTGAGCACTTATTTTGTACACCAAACATTGTGTTATAAGCATTGCACACAGATTTCCCAGATAATCCTGCAACAGTCCAATAAAGTAGATTCTACAGTTACCTCTTATTTGTAGAACAAGGACCGACCTGAAACTCATACAGTCTAAGTCACTTGCCTGAGGCCACACAGCCAGTAAAAAAGACTGAGCAGGGACTTAGACTGCAGTCTCACCCACTATATCTAAGATATGTTTCATTTTCCAGTCACTGTACCACCAGGGCTAACTGCTATTTTAAATAGAGAAAACAAGCCGGGCTCAGTGGCTCAGCCTGTAAACCCACGCCTTGGGAGGCTGAGGTGAGTGGATTGCCTGAGCCCGTGGGTTCGAGACCCGCCTGGGCAACTTGGCGAGAAATAAAAGTAAATAAATAAATTTAAAAATTAGCCGGGCGTGGTAGCGCACATCTGTAGTTCCAGCTACTCGGAAGGCTGAGGCGGAAGGATCGCCGGAGCCCAGCAGGTTGAGGCTGCGGTGGCTGGGAGCAGCCACTGCACTCCAGTCTGAGCGACAGAGTGAGACTCCAACTCAAAATAAATAAATAGATAAATAAATAAATAAATAGAGAAAACAGTCAATTAAATTACAAAAAATTATATAATGCCTATGAATAATTTCTGTACAAAAATATCATATACAATTCATGATTTTTTTTTTTTTTTTGAGCCAGAGTCTCACTCTGTCATCCAGGCTGGAGCACAGTGGCATGTTCACGGCTACTGTAGCCTTGACCTGCTGGGCTCAGGCAATCCTTCTGCCTCAGCCTTCCAAGTAGCTAGAACTACAGGCCCAGCTCACTTTTTTATATATTGTAGAGATGAGCTCTCGCCATGTTGCCCAGGCTGGTCTCAAACCCATGGGCTCAGGCAATCCTCTCGCCTCAGCCTCCCTAAGTGCTAGGATTACAGGTATGAACCACTGTACCTGACCAATTCATGATTTCTAATAGTATTTGACAGATCGAAATGTATACATCAATCAATATGCATTATGAGAAGTTACTACTTGTTTTACTGAGGGTTTTTTTTTTTTAAGAGATAGGGTCTCACTATGTTGCCTAGGTTGAAGTATAGCGGCTATTCACAGACACGAATGTTACTACAGTCTACAGCCTTAAACGTGTGGGCTCAAGTGATCCTTCTACCTCAGCCTCCTGAGTAACTGGAACTACAAATACATGTCACCTTTATCAGCTTTTATTGAGTTTTAAAATAGTACATACCTCTCCAGCCATTTCCACTGTAAAAACTGAGAAAAATATGAGCTTTCTTGGTAATCTTCAAATGGTTTCCCTTTTAGATAGTTATGGACAATCCTAGAAAAAGATTTCATGTAATTATATATACTTGCTGCATTACAATGTAAAAATAACTGTTTTAGTGCATTAATGAGCACCAAATATGGACAAGTCAATCATTACACACAATTCAATATATTGAATTTGCAATTATAGAAGTCCATATCAGGCTCCAAAGCTATCAGTGAAAATAGCCATGATATAGCAATGAAAATAAATAACAGAAGGAGGCACCCTTTCCTGAGGGAACTGAGGTAAGTTATTTGACCTCCTTGGCCTCAGTTTCTCCTTTTGAAAAATAGGGATAATAATCATCCCTACCTCTCAGGGTTATGGTGAGTGGTAAATGAATTTATATATATATATATATATATATATATATTTTTTTTTTTTTTTTTTTTGAGTTGGAGTCTCACTCGTCGTCCAAGCTGGAGTGCACTGGCATGCTCATGGCCACCGCAGCCTTGATCTGCTGGGTTCAGGCAATCCTTCTGCCTCAGACTTCCAAGTAGCTGGAACTACAGATGCATGCCACCATGCCCAGCTAGTTTTTGTGTGTGTGTATGTGTGATTTATTGTAGAGACAAGGTCTCAGCAAGTTGGTCAGCCTGGTCTCAAACCCCTGGGCTCAGGCAATCTTCTTGCCTCAGCCTCCCAAACTGCTGGGATTACTGACTGAGTCACTTCACCCGGCCGAATTAATACCTCTAAAACATTTATTATAGTTGTATTATTACTATTTCATGTTTCTTAGTGCACATGTACAAGAAACAGTTTAAGATATGTACATGCCCAGAGGAGGGATTTGAAGAACAAAGGTATGGACTGAATACTGGCCCCTCCTGGTTTCTCTGACATCCCACAAAAAGAGATGAAGACTGGCAAGGTGGCGATGGGACAGGTTGGATTGTGAGAGTCTCCACAAAAGCGAGTGTCCATAAAGACTCCCTGCATGAGTGAGTACATGTCGGGGTGAGTGAAAGTCCATCTAAGGGGAGACTTGGTTTCATGCACCCGGGGCCCTCCTGCGGAGGTGACTACAACCCCTCACCACCCTGAGATTAAAGCTGCTGGGATGCAGGATCATCTGCTGCTCTCGGTACTCTCCTGAGAAAAGCCTGCCAAATACAGCTGATTCTCATCACCTGGCACCCAGCCCACACCACCACCTGTGATCTAGAGACCCAGATCCGTGGAAAGAGAAGATGGGAAGAACTGGAGAGGAGCCCCACCACGAGTAAGGAAATGCCAACCAGAGCCATTTTCTCTGTCCTGGGCCCAGACAGAAACCTGCATTGCCCTGCCCAGTTCCACCCAGCCTCCAACTTGGGACTTAGAGGTTATCTCATCAAACTCGTAGTGACAGAAGCCCCTCCCCAAGCTGGATCAGACACAGACACATAAGATCTGAGTGGGAGACTTGACAGGCAGCAAGCTGGTTGAGTCCAGTTCTGATCCACCCTCCTCCCACAGTAGGCCTGGGGCATCTGAGAGCAACCCTATCAGCCAGCACTGAGAGCAGAGGAGAGGAGCTGGAGAGCAGAGCGGAAAGGAATTTGGACTTACAGGAATGACCTCAGAGCGGGGGTTTTTTGGTTTGTTTGTGTTTGCTTGTTTTTTGTTTGTTTTTGTTTTAGTTTTTTTCTCTTTCCGTTTCTGATTACGCTTTCATACTTGCTCTGTTTCTGTTATTTTATTGGTGTGTGTGTGTGTGTGTGTGTGTGTGTGTGTTGGAGTCTTACTCTGTTACCCAGGTTGGGGTGCAGTGGCACACTCATGGCCACCCCAGCATCGATCTTCTGTGCTCCAGTGATTCTTCCACCTTGGCCTTCCAAGTAGCTGGAACATGTGCTACCACGCCAGGCTATTTTTTATTTTATTGTAGAGATGAGGTCTCATCAAGTTGTCTGGGCTGCCCTCAAACCCACGGGCTCAGGCAACCCACTTGCCTTGGCCTCCCAAAGTGCTGGGATTACAGGCTGAGCCACCAAGCCCAGCCATTTATTGCTTTTTTTTTTGGAGTTTCTGTTTGCGTACTGGTATTTTTGAGGGAGAGTACATCAGTGGGGGGTGGGAGGGAGGTTGTTGGTTTCTGTATTTGTATGATTGTATGTTTTAGTTGTTTTTTGGTTTTTTTTGAGTTGGAGTCTCACTCTGTCGCCGAGACTGGAGTGCAGTGGCCGCTCCCAGCCACCGCAGCCTCGACCTGCTGAGCTCCGGCAATTCTTCCGCCTCAGCCTTCCAAGTAGCCGGAATTATAGGCATGTCCTACCACATCTGGCTGATTTTTTGATTTATCGTAGAGATGAGGTGTCGCTGCCCAGGCGGGTCTCGAACCCGTGGGCTCAGGCAATCCACTCACCTCAGCCTCCCAAAGGCGCAGGATTACAGGCTGAGCCACTGAGCCCGGCTTGTTTTAGTTTTTTTTTTTTAGCTTTACTGTCTTTATGTCTCTTTTCATTTGTTAGTTGGTACATGTGTTTGTTTTCCCTCTTATTCTTCTCTCTCTCCACCTTCCTCTCATCCCCCTTTCTCTTTCCACTCTTTTCCTTTTGCTTACATCATTTTGCTTTCAGAGGGCAAACATATACCTCCACTGCATGGACAGATTGTAAGGCAGTGAGAAGCAGGTTCCAGGGGGCCCATACACCTGTCAGCAGATACTGGGGATCTGCAGATGGTTTCTGAATCATAGCTCCCTCCTCAATTAAATCTCAAAAATGCAAAAAATACAGCCCCCCTCCCCTACCCACAGTCCAGTTTCAGAATTGAACAAAGCCAGAGGATCAACTTAAGGAAGAATAGGAGATTGAGCAAACAGAAGTAAAAGTTACCCCCCATCCCTGAACAACAGAATTAAAGAAGATGGGGAAAAAATGAGGGAGGAAAATCTACACAAATGAAAAAAAAACCGAAAGAAGAATATGGGAGGTCAGCCACTGAGAATAGAGACTTTGGAACATAAACAATGAAGGGCCCCCAGAATGACTGGTCTCAAACCACAAACTCAGATATCAAGACATTAATAGAGAGAATAAGTAGAACCGAGGAGAGACAAGAGGAAAGAATGAAGGTATTGATAAATGAGATAACAGCAATAAAGATATAGTGAATGAAATAAATAACAAACTGATAGGCATGGAAAGCAGAATTAGCCAAGCAGAAGAAAGAATCTCAGAGCTTGAGGACCAAAATATGGAACTAACCCAAACTGCCAAAAACATAGAAAAGAAGCTTAAAAAGACAGAGTAGGCTGGGCTTGGTGGCTCAGCCTGTAATCCTAGCACTTTGGGAGGCCGAGGCGAGTGGATTGCCTGAGCCCACAGGTTAAAGACCCATCCAGACACCTTGGCGAGACCTCATCTCTACAATAAATCAAAAATTAGCCAGGCATGGTAGCGTGCGCCTGTAGCTCTGGCTCTTTGGAAGGCTGAGGCGGAAGGATCACCAGAGTCCAGGTCGAGGCTGCAGTGGCCAGAGGCATGCCACTGCCACTCCAGTCTGGGTGACAGAGTGAAACTGCAACTCAAAAAAAAAAAAAAAAAAACCACACACAGAGCAAAACTTTCAAGAGATGAGCAATTATTTTAAGAGGCTGAACCTAAGATTAATTAGACTTCCTAAGGCAGAAAGAGAGACAGAGACCACCCTGGAACAAACATTCCATGAAATTACCAAGAAAACTTCCCTTATCTCATCAGTGACACGACCATTCAAATACTAGAGAATCCCTGCAAGACGACAAATGAGTAGACCAACTCCTAGATGCACAGTAATTTGCCTACACAAAGAAGGTATAAAAAAAAAAATCCTAAAGACAGCAAGGGAAAAAGGTCAGACTACCTACAGGGGAAGACCAATTAGAATAACAGCAAACTTATCCACAGAAACACTTCAGGCGGGGAGAGCTTGGCACCAAATCTTCAAAGTTCTCAGAGATAAACAATTTCAACCAAGAATTACCCACCAAGCTAAACTAAGCTTCAGTGGTGATGGAGAATTAAAATGTTTCCCAGATGTTCAATCCCTAAGAGTTTATGCTGCCTCCAGACCAGCTCTACAAGAAATATTTAAGTATTAAACACAGAAGAAAGAAATAATAGAATGACAATGCCCTTCGCAAGAATGCAGGAAAAAGGTTGAAAACATACATGAATCCACCCAAAAATCAAAAGAAAGAAAACAAACAGCAACAACAAAATCAAACTCTATAAGAACCTCATGACAGGGATAAACTCTCACATTTTAATAATTAGCCTGAATGTGAATAGACTAAATGCACCACTGACAAGACATAGAATGACAAAATGGATAAAATACAATGAGGCAGCAATATATTGTCTCCAAGAGACTCATCTCACCAGAGAGGACACTCACAGACTCAAAGTAAGAGGACAGGAAACAAAATTTCAGGTAAACGGAACACAAAAGAAAGCAGGAGTCACAATCTTAATATCAGACAAAATATCCTTTAAACTATCAAAAATTAAAAAAGATACAGAAAGTCATTACATAATGATAAAAGGTTCAGTCCAGCAACAAGAAATATCCATCCTAAACATATATCCTAAACATATATGCACCCAACATAGGTGCACCAACTTTCATAAAGCAGCTTCTAGGTAAACTTAAAAAAAATATTGACTCTAACACTATCATAGCTCAGGACTTAAATACCCCCGACTCATGACCCTAGACAGATCATCAAGACAAAAAATCAACAAGGAGATCCAGAACGTGACACTTGACCAAATTGATACCTACAGAACATTCCACCCAACAGCCATGGAATATACATTCTTATTCATCATCACATGGAATGAACTCACACATCCTCAGCCATAAATGAAGCATAAAAAATATCACAAGACTGAAATCATGCCATGTACCTTCTCAGACCAGTGGAATAAAAATAAATATCAACACCAACAAAGTTCCCCAAAACCCACAAAGACATGGACACTAAACAGCATGATGCTAAGCAACTCCTGGGTCAACATGGAAATCAAAACAGAGAT